TAAAATTAGTATTAGAGGCAGAATAATGTGAATGAATAGGCATTTGTGAATAAATAGAGAAATAGATAGATATCAGAAAAATAAACAGATGAATAGATAAAAAGTTAAAGAAGAAACAAATAGATAGATATTTAAAGAAAGTAACAAATAGGTAAATAAATATTTGTGGAATAATAAAAAATATTTGAATATTTAAGGAATAAAAAGAAATAGAAAGATATTTGATGATGAAAAAATACATAAAGAAATAGTTGAAAAATAGAATAAATACACAAATAAATATTTGAAGAAAATATACAAAATAAAGAAGAATAAACAACAAAATAAATAGATATATGAAGAATAAGAAAATAGATTAACCAGTATTTGACGAATAAGAAAATGAATAAATATTTGATGAAGAATGGATCAATTTATAAACATAGTAATTAGTGTATGAACTTTAAAAACAGTATTCACATGAAAAAAATATACATACACAATTTTTTAATTAATTCATGATAATTTATTAAGTGAACAGATAGTAGTTAGATATATTGATAAATGATAGATAGATAGATTAATTAAAAATTATAAGATAAATGATTAATAAATAAGCAAAAAATTATTAGATAAATAGATAAATAATACTTCAGATGAATGAATGAATGCTCGATAAATGAATAAAAAAATAATTGAATAGACGAATAAATGATAATTAGATAAAGAAATAAATAGTAATAAGGTAAACAACACGTTAAACAAGGTTAATAAAAAAGGAGAGACAGGAGGTTGGAAATCAAAAAAAGAAAAAGAAAAAAGAAAGAAAAAAAAAACATGGGATCCACAAGGAAAGAAAAATTGTTTTTTTACGTACGCGAGGAAATCGAAAAAACGATAAAGCGGGGAATAAAAGAGGGAAGGTTGGGTCAGATGGTCAGGCAAGGGAGGCAAGGTCAGGTCACATAGTGCATTTGTTAAGGACGATAGGTTCAAGAGAGAGAGAGAGAGAGAGAGGGAGAGAGAGAGAGAGAGAGAGAGAGAGAGAGAGAGAGAGAGAGAGAGAGAGAGAGAGAGAGAGAGAGAGAGAGAGAGAGAGAGAGAGAGAGAGAGGAGAGAGAGAGAGACAGAGACAGAGACAGACAAGAGACAGAGACAGAGAGAGAAAGAAAAGAGAAGAGAGAGAGACAGACAGACAGACAGACAGAGAGAGAGACAGAGAGAGAGAGAGACAGACAGACAGAGAAACAGAGAGAGAGAACAGAGAGAGAAAAAAAACAATGAGAACGAGCCAGCCAGAGAGAAAGAAAGAAAAGAAAAGATAAAAAAAGAATCTACAAGGTTATAGGATGTAGGAAGCGCGGAGGCCCTGGACGAGATAGGCTCCGAGACGTGAACCGGCGTCGAAACAAAGGAAATGATTAATGAAACAAGATTGCATCAGTTTTACGGGCGTGGTCATCGGTGCAACAGGGAGATGGGGCGACCAGCTGGGCAGTTTCTTTAATGATCTATTGCCCACTTTTCACAGGAGAAGGTATTATTGTGATGAGCCATTGTTTAGTTCCACTGAGGGATGCGGGAGAGATGCCCTTAATAAAACAGTGGTACCAGATTCGAGTATGTTGTGGAGGGGCGCAGGGTAGGGTTTGAGGCACTTGGCGAGGGCGTAGGGCGTGGATGGTGAAACGATACGAAAGGAGAAGAATAGGAAAAAAACACACAAAAATGACGAAGACCTTTTTTCGCTATAGGTGTTTCGTCGGAGCAATAATCGAATAAGTTCTTAGGCATATTCGTGTTTCCTCGTTCGTTCCCTAATGTTTTTGTATATGATTTGTTCATCGTGAATCCTGTGTAGGATCCCTGTGGAACAATTTGCAAGTAGAACAACGAAGGGAAGTAGAAAACACATAAATATACCGAAGACCTTTTCGCTATCTTGTTTCTCCAGAACGATAATTGAAAAAGATCCTTCGACATATTCGTGTGTTTACCTTCGTCCTGTACTATTGTTTTGTTTACCATTCCTCCAGCGCGAATTCTGCACAAGCGTGGATGGTGTATACTAGACATCGGTGGGTATTTTCACTCCTCGTCCAAGATGTGTAGAGAGTAGGTAGAGAGAGGACGAGATAAAAGAAAGAAGAGCGGAAGGCGGGATAAAAGAAGCGTGGCAGTGACTGAGAGGAGAACCGCAGGGTGCAAAGAGCGTCTCTCTCTCTCTCTCGGCAGAACTTCGTCGGGATCGTTGCGTGGAATTACTCGGCTAGGATGAAAAAAAAAACGGCGTTTAATGTGTTTCTCTGTCTATCCTATGTCTACTATCTTCTGTCAGTCTGTCCTATCTTCTGTCTCTCTGTCTGACTATCTGTATCTCTTTTATCTCGCTTTACCTCTCTCTGTCAGTGCCATTAACCAGTACCAATATATTTTACCAGTGCAAATGCCCCTTTAACGGTGGCCAGTACCTTTTACCAGTGCAATTCCCTTAACATAGTACCAATACCTTTTACCAAAC